ATACCGATAGGGGGCCGATTATATCGTGCATCCCTAAGATTTTCTCATTAACTGAGTTAATGCTTTTCATTAACCCAGAATTTGATTTAAAAAAAAAATCTGTGTCTAGTGAATCTTTATAACATTTAGTTTCCATTTTTAAATTTGATCACTCTGTGACCTGTATCTTACTTATATTTTGCATATTTGCCCTTCTTATGTTCTGATGAGAAAACAAATGTTCTCTAGAGTAGAAAGGTACATTTTCATTGCCCCACCCACATGGCGTACATCTAAAGACAAGGCAACACCATTCCCTCATGGTGTTCCCTCTAAGATCTGCTCAAGAAACAATATTCAGCAGGACCTCCTAAATTAAACAAATAATTTAGAGATAGTTCTACTTCCTGTGTGTGTCAGTGTAGTATGGGAGTGTGGGGTGTTGCAGGCACTGGCTTTGAGTTGTTCTTGGGTCTTGTCTGCTTTTCTTTGATGCTGACAGAAGGATTTATTGGCTCATTCTTATTCTCGCCTCGTCAGCATGCCCCACTCACCTCCACACTGGCCATTCAGAGTGTGTGTTCCACTTTTACTGTGTTTTGTCTTTTCCTTGCACCTCACGCTTCAAGCTTTTCCATTGTTCTCCAGCTCTCTGTCGGTTAGCTCTTGTCAGGCCCTACAAATCTCTAAGAAAGAGAAGTGCTACTCCTTGCAAAGTTGGGTGTTCATCACATCAACTGGTTTTAATCCCTTTATTTTTCCATCTTTTGGTATTTTATCTGTGTTTGGCACCGTGACACTTGACTGTAATCTCACTGGGTCTCTCAGTGACCTTTCTCTGTTTTCCTTTTGTTTGTTCCTTCAGCTGCTCCCTTAGTGGAATACAACTTTTCCCTTTTATTTCCCTTTTTTTTTGTCCCATAAATAGAAAAAGTGTTGCTTTAAGATAGATTTTGTCTGAGGGACTTTCTTACAAACACCCAGGATTTTGTACAGCCTAGAAAACACATGCAAAAAAAAAGATGTTTTCAGTTTCCCCTAAACCAAACTGTTTGGCTCTAAGTAGAGAAAACAGGTGTGAATAAATAACTATCAAATTGTAATTTTGCTGGCTAAATGACATGAATCTGTGATAAATCCCAGTTATTCAGGGATTAGCGGGAGAAACTTTATCATTTGTACATAAACCACTGCTGTCATGGTTCACAACTAGAAATTTTCTTCGAAAAAAAAAAAAAAAGAGAAATAATATACAGAAAGCAATAGATATATTTCTACTCAGGAACACTTTGTCTATCTGAACAAAAACATATAATATTCAAAGTCTAATATTGTTATTATTTTTTTCATTATTACAATTATTATTGATAGTAGTAGTATGTGTTAGTATTATTATTTTTTACTATCAGTAGCAGCTTTTCAAAGTACTGCTTGGATGCAACACATAAAAAGATATTATGAAGCTAAAGCGGAAATTCAACTGAAGAAACTCTGATTACTTCCATTCAATCTGAGGCTGATCCGCCTCCGACGCAGCCAACCC